GGTGGGGGTACATTACTTGCTATCCCCCCTCCCTTCTTACCTTTTGTAGGGAGGGGGGATCGTGCTGCTGATTCCATCCCTGGTGGTCCAGTGGAGAGTGAACTCTAGCCCCTGTGGGGCTAGAGTTCACTCTCGCGAGATTTGAGCGTTGCCATGGCAACACTCATATCTCGCGAGAGGAACCCGGCGGAGCTGCCGACAATAGCTCCGCCGGTCCTCTCCTGCCTCCCTCCCTGCATGTGGGTCGGTGGGGAGGGAGGCTGAGAGCAGAGCCGGCGCTCGGATAGCGCCGGCTCTGCATGAGCCGGTCTCCATATACATAGGCGTGCCGCGGGGATTAGGGTGTGCCCTGGCACACCCGGCACACCCCGTGCGCACGCCTATGTTTACGGTTCTGAAGTGTTCCTTTAAACCAGACCCAGTAGTGGCTTATTCATAAAGCCAGTTTAATGCTTTTAAGAGTAAAATATACCATTCAATTCATATTGTGGTAGCATGTAAAATTGCAATAGTAAGGAAGTGTAAAAAAAGGGAAAATATCAATATAGAAACAATTACTGAACAAATCAAATATCAAGCTGCTATGGAAAATGAATTCTTGACTAATAATAGTTATGGGTTAGAAATGCATGAAATTATGGTCCCCCTGGTATGAAAAGAAGGATCAATGTGGTATCTAGATTTTATTGAGAGAATTTTTGGGTATGAATGGATGTAAATGTATACAGGGAGTGCAGAATTATTAGGCAAGTTGTATTTTTGAGGATTAATTTTATTATTGAACAACAACCATGTTCTCAATGAACCCAAAAAACACATTAATATCAAAGCTGAATATTTTTGGAAGTAGTTTTTAGTTTGTTTTAGTTATAGCTATGTTAGGGGGATATCTGTGTGTGCAGGTGACTATTACTGTGCATAATTATTAGGCAACTTAACAAAAAACAAATATATACCCATTTCAATTATTTATTATTACCAGTGAAACTAATATAACATCTCAACATTCACAAATATACATTTCTGACATTCAAAAACAAAAAAACAAATCAGTGACCAATATAGCCACCTTTCTTTGCAAGGACACTCAAAGGCCTGCCATCCATGGATTCTGTCAGTGTTTTGATCTGTTCACCATCAACATTGCGTGCAGCAGCAACCACAGCCTCCCAGACACTGTTCAGAGAGGTGTACTGTTTCCCCTCCTTGTAAATCTCACATTTGATGATGGACCACAGGTTCTCAATGGGGTTCAGATCGGGTGAACAAGGAGGCCATGTCATTAGATTTTCTTCTTTTATACCCTTTCTTGCCAGCCACGCTGTGGAGTACTTGGACGCGTGTGATGGAGCATTGTCCTGCATGAAAATCATGTTTCTTGAAGGATGCAGACTTCTTCCTGTACCACTGCTTGAAGAAGGTGTCTTCCAGGAACTGGCAGTAGGACTGGGAGTTGAGCTTGACTCCATCCTCAACCCGAAAAGGCCCCACAAGCTCATCTTTGATGATACCAACCCAAACCAGTACTCCACCTCCACCTTGCTGGCGTCTGAGTCGGACTGGAGCTCTCTGCCCTTTACCAATCCAGCCACGGGCCCATCCATCTGGCCCATCAAGACTCACTCTCATTTCATCAGTCCATAAAAACCTTAGAAAAATCAGTCTTGAGATATTTCTTGGCCCAGTCTTGACGTTTCAGCTTGTGTGTCTTGTTCAGTGGTGGTCGTCTTTCAGCCTTTCTTACCTTGGCCATGTCTCTGAGTATTGCACACCTTGTGCTTTTAGGCACTCCAGTGATGTTGCAGCTCTGAAATATGGCCAAACTGGTGGCAAGTGGCATCGTGGCAGCCTGCACGCTTGACTTTTCTCAGTTCATGGGCAGTTATTTTGCGCCTTGGTTTTTCCACACGCTTCTTGCGACCCTGTTGACTATTATGAATGAAATGCTTGATTGTTCGATGATTACGCTTCAGAAGCTTTGCAATTTTAAGAGTGCTGCATCCCTCTGCAAGATATCTCACTATTTTTGACTTTTCTGAGCCTGTCAAGTCCTTCTTTTGACCCATTTTGCCAAGGAAAGGAAGTTGCCTAATAATTATGCACACCTGATATAGGGTGTTGATGTCATTAGACCACACCCCTTCTCATTACAGAGATGCACATCACCTAATATGCTTAATTGGTAGTAGGCTTTCGAGCCTATACAGCTTGGAGTAAGACAACATGCATAAAGAGGATGATGTGGTCAAATACTCATTTGCCTAATAATTCTGCACTCCCTGTATATATAAATAAAAATATTTTTAAAATTTTATATAGATATATACATATATATACACATCTTTTGTATATATATATACATATATTAATTCTATATATATATTTATGTAATATTTTTACATAATTAGGTATCTTAATTAATTACAATTAGCAGGACCTGCCTGACAACCCATGCCAAAAGTAAAGGGAATTTAATTTGCTAGCACTATATTTAACCCTATAACTTTCCAAGACACCATAAAACCTGTACATGGGGGGTACTGTTCTACTCGGGAGACTTCGCTGAACACAAATATTAGTGTTTCAAAATAATATAAAATATTTGTGTTCAGCTAAGTCTCCCGAGTACAACAGTACCCCTCATGTACAGGTTTTATGGTGTTTTCAAAAGTTACAGCGTCAAATATAAGGCTTGCGTTTCATTTTTTTCACATTAAAATTCGCCAGATTGGTTACGTTGCCTTTGAGACCCTATGGTAGCCCAAGAATGAAAATTACCCCTATGATGGCATACCATTTGCAATAGTAGACAACCCAAGGTATTGCAAACAGGGTATGTCAGTCTTTTTTAGTAGCCACTTAGTCTGGCTTACTGGCCAAAGAGTGTTTTGCATTTTCACACACAAACAAATACTAGCGTAGCTTTGGCCAGTGTTTGTATTTCATCTTACTAGCCAAAACAGGCGTACCATCCCGCAATACGCCAGGTTGTCTATACAATAGTATATACCATATAAGAATAATAAGTATTCTGGAGCTACTATACAGTCTCAAAGGCAACTTAACCAATCTGGCGAATTTCAATTTCAAATGTAACGTGCTATATTTGACCCTGTAACTTCCCAAAACACCATAAAACCTGTACATAGGGGGTACTGTCTTACACGTGAGACTTTACTGAATACAAATATGTGTATTTTATTGCAGTAAAAGCAAACAGTATTATGACATTGACCGTTAAAATGTCATGTAGAACTAAAAAATCTTTTTAAAATCATATTTTCTCCCATTTTTTTCATATTAAATTATGTTTCATAGCTAAATATTTGATATTAAATGAAAGCCCTGTTTCCCCTGAATAAAATGATAAATAATAAGGGTGGGTGCATTTACTATGAAAGAGGTGAATTACGGTTGGACAGACATGTAGCGCAAATGCCAGGTTTTGTTTACATTTTGTTTTGTTCACAACGTGTACATTTGGCTCCGTCCTTAAGGGGTTAATTCAAACTGCAAAATTATATACTAAAACACCAATACTACACACAAATGTACACCTGCATTTAAAAGACAACACTACAAACACACCCCTGCAAACACCACTGCAAGCCAATGGTAACAGCACATACAAATACACCCCTACATGCACACACATACTGTGTACAAAAACATGATTACACTGCTCACAAATACAACCCGGCAAGGATGGCCACATGGTAGATCCCCAGCTATCATAGCATTGTGGAATTGAACAATAGACGGGGATCTATATGTTGCGCCGGGGGTGGACAAGAAAATATCTTCTCTATATTAGTTCTGCCACTAGGCTGGGGTGGAGGGAATGATTGCATGCCAGGAAGTGGGGGCAAGGTCCAGGCTTGCCCAAGGTCCAATCTATATTAACGTTTGCCTTAGGGACTGCTCCCTTCAAACATACAAATGGCTGATTGTTTCAATGGATTTTTTTTTCAGGACAGACTTGGGTTTTGGGAAGTCAATAGGCTGGAGAATTTCTGTTTAATGGGAAACTCCAGTGCCAGGAAAACAATCCTTTTTCCTGGCACTGCAGGTCCCCTCTCCCTCCCACTTCCCAATCCCCGGTAGCTGAAAACCCCTTCAGGTCACTTACCTGAGACCCCGCAAATGTCCCTCGGTGGTGGTTTCTTCTCGCCGACACTCCTCCCAGTCATTACGTCGGCCGGTGGGCGAGACTGATCCATGAGACTGAACAGCGTGAGGACGTCCAGTGACGCTCTAGCACAGGTTTTCTGTGCTATAGAGCAGGAAGTGCCCTCTAGTGGCTGTCTAGTAGACAGCCACTAGAGGTGGCGTTAAACCTGCAAAGTAATTATTGCAGTTTATAAAAAACTGCAATAATTACACTTGCAGGGTTAAGGGTAGTGGGAGTTGGCACCCAGACCCCTCCAATGGGCAGAAGTGGTCTGGGTGCCTGGAGTGTCCCTTTAACACTTACTTTAGATGCTTTGGGCCTTATGATAGTAAAGATTGTAGAATCTCATTATCTATACAGTGTATCATGTGTGGTGGTTTCCATAAGGCAATTATCTCAATCTCTCTTAATTGAGAACATTGAGATTGCAAGCTATCAGCACTAACCCACAAAAGGTTATAGTAGCCCTCCACTATTTTAAAATACAGAATAATAATGTGTGGCTGCAGGCCACAATCCCAACTGTCCACTTGCCAGCCCTATCAACAGTTTATTTCAGACAAATTAAAATGTTTGTTTACCAGGCAGTCTGCCTTAAAGGAAGTTCACCCGGCCTGTTTGTTAATTCATTCCCACACCTTTGATGTTTCATAAATAAATAAATTAAAATTAGATGAAGTTCTGCCCAAGATATAATTTCAATTTATATGGCCTCTAGCTTCTGTGATC